AGTTCAAAGTTGCACACACATACCTAATATTCCTTCTTCCCCCTGTTTTTTCTTAAAACAACTGAACTCTGTGAAGTGAGTTGGGCTGAGAGGAAGTGACTGGCCCAAAGTCCCCTAACCACCTTTCATTTCCAAGGTGAGACTAGAACTCACAGTCTCCTGGTTTGTAGCCTAGAGCCTTAACCACTAGACTAAACTGGATCTCCCTGTTGTGCAATGAAAGATGTTGCTTGGTAAGAGAGCCACATGATCCTATCTTCACAATAATTAGTCAATATCTTGCCAGAGGAGCCAGTTAAGGACAGCAATTTCAGCTCCAGAAACTCACCCAGTTAAAGAACCCAATCCTTGTGTGTTTTCTATCCTTTGTCAGAATTTAAGATTTAAGTGAGAGATTTCCTCTCTGGCTCCTTTCCAAGAATGCAATAATGCTGTTGGGATGCCTTCTTATCCAGCATATTCAGTGCAGAGCAGAAACAAACTCTTAGTACTCTACACTTTTCAAACTTGTTACTTTACATAGTCAGAGCAGGAGAAAAGGTATTTCATGGTCTACAACAGCTGTGTAAATAGTAGCTTATACTGCTAATATATGAATGTATTACACACTGTATATAACTAACGAAAAAAATTTCCTTTTTGGGTAAAAAAAATCTGCTTTAAATAATAAGTTTATGGAAGTCTTTGAAAATACCTTTGAAACATCTGGAGTTGGATAAATTCCAATTTGTCTTTCCTGGTAGCTTTTACAAATGATGACATCACAGATGATATTATTTGTGCTAAGAGAATTGTGCGTGATCCCAATAGGATGAGTGCCTGGTGAGTCAACCTCTCATTAACATCTTCCATTTGTAGCATTGGGTAGCAACTGAGCTTGTAGTCATGAAATTTAATTACTTTCTTTAGATTATTGTAAAACTTTTGAGCATTTGTAGTGAAATATACTTTCTGAACATTGCAGATTGTATTTTTTATTGCTATGCTTGCATTCTTGTTGCTTTAAAATATGGGTTTAAGCAGTCTTTTGAATCCTGGTTTAAAAGTAGCCTGAGACACAATTTAAGATGGGGCTGTTGATGCTGGTTATAGCAGGATTACTCCTTCTCAATCATTTTACATCAATTATCCACTTCTGTGCTTGTCAGCAGTTAAAAAAAAATTAGAGTTTAGTACAAAGTTGGAACAGGAGCAGCAGAATTAGGCAGAGGGCCTTTTGAACACTAGAATTCTAATTCCATGGATGAGCTCCATAGAGTCAGAGATCTGGTAGGTAAAGAACCTAGTAGTGTGAGAAGCAGGGAGAGATCATTCCTGAAGCCTCCAAATATAGAATGAATAGTAAAGGGGGAGGCAGCAGCAGATCATTAGATGGAAAAATTTTCAGCTGTGTATCTAGAAGCAAAGAATAAAAATGCTTTATGGTAATCTGAATTATATAAAAAGTATTCTGTGTGCTGTTTTAAAGAGAATCCAAAGTAACTACTGGGCATTAGTGGCACATAAGTTTTATTGTGAGAAATAGAAAGTCAGGACTATTTTAGCTAAAATGATTATTTTAATCTGGAGGAAAGGAAATTCATTTAAACAACTAAGAAAAGAACTTTATCAGTCAATGAACAGAAAAGATGAATGAATGATAGTTGCACTAGGTCACTTAGAAGTTTCCTGAATCTCTCCAAGAAGAATTATGTCATCTGAAACTGTTAAAGAAACTACCACATGTGTGATCCACAAAGACGTGCATTATGCTTATTTTTATTCTCATTCTTTTCTTAAGGGTTGCCTGGAGAAACCACTGCAGAGGAACAAATCTTTCAAAATGGACCAGTGGCTGCCGTCTCTGAGTTTGATGATCCTGCATTTCTCTTCCTCCTCCTGTGATGAAAATGATACTATTCCTTATATAACCACACTGAGCAGTTTGATTCTATGCCTGCACTCCACATATTGGGAAGAATGAGTTTCTTTGCATACAAACAATGATTTTTAAATGGTTTCTGGGTGAAAAAGAGGGAAAGACCTTGCTTTTTAAACTTGCTTCAATAAAATGAGTATTGTGCATTATCCCCTTCACTGTTCCATGCTTTATTTCCTTTCATCCTTCATTATTACAACATAATTGAACTGGCTACCAATCATTCCTATGGCAAAGCAGATTTACAAATGGTAGACTGGCATCCAAAGCCAGACAAATTCTATGGTCAGCCTTCAGTTATGTTAAGGCTTGGCTTTTGGTCTTTTTTTCTATAAGAAAAAATGAGGTTTGAATTTAGAATTAAGTGGTCCATTTAAATCCCATTAGTTTATCTGCTGAATACCAGAGCATCCAAATAAGACAGCAACATCAGCAGGTTAATGACACAGATTAAACTATTGTGATTTTTGCTGTTCCAAAGTCCTTTTCGCATCTCTTCTCATAGTCCAGATATGCTAGTCTGTTGAATCTAGTATATTCTGTGCATCCTCAGTTCCAGTATGTTCAACAAATCATGGTCCAGCTATGATACCTGCACCTGCAGAAAGTTGAGAAGATCACTGGAAACTCTGTTCAAGTAAACATAGGCACAAAACCCCAAGCAGCAGATGGCAGAAAAAGCTAATGGCAACTCCTGGGAAACATTAACCAAGGTTCAGCCTGCAAAATCTCCCAGTCTGTAATAATTTTATCTAGAAAGAATCCAGACTCCTTTCTGAGATCTCAATGAGATTTGCAGCACTGGATTCTTATGAGAACTGAGGGCCAAGCTATTCGGTATTTGAAGGATCCAACATAAGGAGCATTCATTTTTTTAATTTCAGCAGGAACTAGATAGCTTTCCAGTCACGTTTTCCCTCATCCATCTGGTGGCCCATTTTGTTCCCCAAGGCTGTGACTCAGAAATTCAGAGCATTGGGGACTCTTGTCAGGGATTTTGAAATCAGAAAGGTCACCTGTAACTTCAGAGCTAGGAGACATCCATAAATTATGCAAGTTATACATTTATGGAGAAAGATTAGAACAGGTAGATGGATGGATGTACCTTGGAAGAATATTTACTAAGGACAAGAAAAAAGATAAAGATAGTTTAGCTGATAGGAAGTTAATGTGTGGCAGGTATTCTGCTGAGAGGATCACATATTTCTTGAAATAAGCAGAAAGTTTTGTATGGAAAACTGTTTCTGTTAACTTTAATATGAGGACAAGAGGGTTGGAGACATGAAACTAATCTCAGTGCAGCCGGAATTTCATGGTGGGATAAGATCAAGAATGCATGAGTGATAGAAGATATTAGGTTGAACGCACCAGTGAGCAACCATTAGAAAGTACATTGTAATGTACTTTGGTTTGGGTGGGTGATTTGTTCACATAGAGACAATGAATGAGGAACAAACTACAAAATAAATCTACGAAGGAAGCGTACTTTCCTAGAGAGCTTGCAGATACCACCAACAATTACAATTCCTGCTAATTCAAAGTAGAAATTTTAGGACATTAGATCCAGAGACTTAAAAGCAATTCCCCCATATCAACTGCATGTCAGAAAGATGGCTGAGAGAGAAAGACTGGCCCAAGATGACCCCCGATTGGGACTGACAGTCTCCTGGTGCCTTAACCACTACACCAAACTGTCTCTCTTAAGTTCCAATGACAGGATAATTAAATGGAAGGAAAATTCAAGGGAAGGAGAACAACTCAATAATCTTCTCAAGGCTGGGGAAAAAAATCCTGACCAAAGTCCCCAGGTTTGCAGACTGCTGGAGAGATGATTGATGAACAGAGTGAAAGATGGCATGTAATGGAAGTGTAAATAAGTGCATAAATATAGCCTGCTCTTATTTCCAAAATGTAAAGAATATCTAGAAAAAAACTCTTATAAAAAGAGGAGGAAGGAGGAATTTTAACTGCTGTACACTGAAACTAAACTGAAGTCTCATTCGTTGAAATAGATTTGTTTATTTGCTTATCCATTGTATTTCTCTGAAAATAACTTACAAAAATTAAAACAAATATAAATGATATCATGGAGGGGTCCAAAGTACAAAAAATTCATACCAATAGTTCTAATTCAGAAAAGCTGTCATAGAACTGAGCCCAGTAACAAGGTGTACAAGCTCTTCTACAATCTTAGAGAATGAGACCAGAGCTGAAATATGCCAATCTTGTAAGATCTTACTAGATAGACAAACACAATTTGAAATCAGGTGATCCAGCAGGCATCCTGTGACCATGTAGGGCTCCTGTAGATTAAAAACAGCACCTGAATTCCCCAAGGAACCAAGTGGCAACTAACTGATTTATGCCCAGCCCTGCTTCTGCTGCCTACTACATATAGATTCTGAATAGTATTCTAAGGCAACTTACGTAGAGTTCACCGCACTGATATATACTGTGGATAATTTATAGAATCCAGTTGCAGAATTCAGCAATTTCAGATCAGACAGATAAAATCTATCTACATGGTCACGGAAACTGGATGAAGACTTGATGACTCATGTAAGAAGGATAAAACCGCAATAAAACCAAGAAATAAAATACAGTTCACTGGGTTGTTTCAATAAGTTGCATTACTCCACAAACTTCATCACAAACAAACAAACAAAAAATAGAGTGAAACCAGAGTTGTATTGAAACAAACAAATAGAAACCTATGCCAAATGTTGGGTCCCCCAAAGAGAGAGGAATGTCGTCAGGACAGGGCTCCAAAAAATGAAGAAGGCTGCAGTCACTATTCAGTAAAAGGCCAGTTCCTTTTTCACATACATCATACGTGAAACACATAAAAAAAGTTGGGGCTTCAATCACACAGTTGAAACCATCACATGTTCACTTTGGGCACCTCTCATACAGATTCCCTTGATCCAGATTTGTGCCTCAGCACTCCCTGCTTCTTCCTCCAAATTATCTTCAGATAGGGGAATAATTGCTTTCTTTGCCAGCTCTCCAGAGGTGCCAGTTTCTCAAGCTCTGACTATAAAACCCAGGCGGCTTCCTGGAGAAGTCAGACATTGTCCTCCAAGGAGCCACAACAATGAAGGCATTAGTGCTCACCCTCCTCTTCCTCCTCATGGCACCCAGTGAAGCCAAAATATTTTCCAGATGTGAACTGGCTTCAGTTCTGAAACAACATGGCCTGGATACATATACGAGTTGGACTTGTGTAAGTTGACTCTCTCTTTCTCTCCATCTGAGCAAGATCCAGCTTTGCAAGAGGATGCAAAATGGGGCAGATCTTTTCAAGAATGAGTTCAACCAGCCCACCCAATGAATTAAACGCTGTTTTCAATGTTCTTACAATGAGGAGATACGCTTGCTCCTCAACTCAAATGACTGGGGAGATCTCAGACTTCACCTGCACTAACACCCTTATTTTTATGAGACTGATGGATCTCCGGTTTGTTGCCTGATTGAGACAATTGCAGAACTGGGATACGGTTGCACCACCTTGGTCTCTGCATTGTCTTTTTATAATGATAGCTTAGCCAATATTTTGTTTACTCTCTTAAGAATAGTGGATTATCCCTCCCAGGATGAGCATCCTCTCACAGGTTAGATCTTTCAAATTCCACCAAATCATTTAAATTCAGTATGTGATTGAAGAGGCCATCACATTTCTACATTTCTACATGTGCAGATTGCCAGGGGATGCACAATGAAAAAGTACCTCCTCCCTGGAAGGCTAGAATTAAGAAGAGAGAAGGAAGGAGAGATGGCTTTATGCACCATTAAAAACTCCAGGAATATCTTGGAGACAAGAATCAGATTTATTCCAAATTTCCCTGAAGATTTCCAAAATGTTCTGGAGTTCTTCAGACCTTCCTTGTTGGGGGGAAAATGAGAAGATGGCTAAGCATTGTGTTATAAATGTTCTATTTTTAAAAATCAGGATAGATGTTTCATTTATAGGACCGATCCTTTATAGCCCATTTCCCATTTGCTTTCTTCCAGGGATATGTATAAGTTATTATGCAAGCAAGTACAACACCCAAGCTGTGAACGACAGTACCTACTATGGAATTTTCCAGATTAGTAGCTATCGGTGGTGCAGTGATAACCATGAGGGTATGGATAGTTCATGTGGTAAACCTTGCAGTGGTAAGTCACATCTGTCAAATCTTTAACAAATCATCTTATTATTATGCTCTACAATACAAAGCAGTAGCTCACGCCTTGTGGTGTTTATTTCTAGACCTGATTTACCACCAAGGCTCACACCTACTTCATTAGAAAAGCAAAAAAATTGAAATGTTCCAAATATGCCAAATCAAAATTTTGTAGGGAGATTTTTGTGCTTCTTCTTCTCTTTTATTGCTCTCTATAGGGGATTGCTCTCCATGAGGATTAACCCACACTGTTTCTCAAAATTGTTTTGAGTTCCTGCTCAAGTCAACAATGAAAATACGGGTTTTCTGGCCTATTAGCCTTCTTCCATTTAGTGTCGTGCTACCCAAAATTATCTGGGATTAGCGTGCAGTACTGAAGGCTACTTCTGCTGACTGCCAACAGTTCAAAGCTCATATGTGGTGAGGTCCCCCTGTCTCACTCACATTAGCAATCTCACACTCTCTTCAGTGCTTTCTAAAAAAAATTTAATTCCCCCACTTTTATTATTTTTATAAACAATTCAAGGTGCGTACATACCTATTCCTCCTCCTCCTATTTTTATTTATTTATTTTTATTTTTATTTATTTATCTGTCAAGTATTACATAATATATATAAGTATAAGCATGGACTGAATACATAAAATGAATATAAATAAAGGGAACGTTAGGACAGGGACGGTAGGCATGCTGGTGCTCCTATGCACGCCCCTTACAGACCTCTTAGATTTATTTTTTTAGTTTTTTAAAAAAATTCTTAAAACAACTTAAATCTCTGAAGTGAGAGGATGTGACGGGCCCAAAGTTACACAACCAACTTTTATTTCCAAGTTGAGCCTAGAATTCACAATCCCCCATTTTATAGCAGGGACTCCTAACCGCTACTAGTCTAAACTGGGTCTCCATATGCAATGCAAAGGGTTGCTTGCAAATAATTAATCAATACCTTGCCAGAGGCACAAATTAAAGGCAGCAATTTCAGATTCTGAACCCCACCCAGTTAAGGGACCAGATCCTGTTTTTTCTGCCCTTTGTGGGACAAATCTAGTTCTTGGACACAGGTGAGAGATTCTTCTCTCTCTCCTTTCCAAGAGTGCAATGAGACTGTTGGGAAGTTTGCATATCCAGCATATTCAGCTCTAGAGGGGAAACTGATTACTGGTCCAGAACATTTTTCAGAGTTCTTACTCTGCATGGTTAGAACATGCGACAAGGCAGTTAATGGTCTACACCAGCTGTACAAAAAGTAGATGATATCACTAACGACATGAATGTATTGCATAATGTACATAATTAGTGTTCTAACATTGACATACCTGGAGTTGAACAAATTCCAATTTGCCTCTTTTGGCAGCTTTCACAGATGATGACATCACAGATGATATTGCTTGTGCTAAAATAATTATGGCTAATCACGTACCGTTCTATCAATGGTGAGTCAATTTCTCATTAACATCTTCCATTTGTAACATTGGGTAGCAACTGAATTTGTAGTCATAGAAGTAAATAGTCTTTCTTTAGACTATTGTACATCTTTTAGGATTGGTGGTAAAATATGCTTTCTAAATATGACAAGCTGCATTTTTATACTTTCATTCTGGTTGCTTTAAAATATGGCTTTATCTTTTGAACTCAGGTTTAATGGTAGACTAAGACACAAGGGGAGGGGCTGTTGATGCTGATTATAGCTGTATTATTCCTTCCCACGGATTTCACATACATTAGGCACTTACATGCTTTAAAATCTGGGGTTTACTACCCAGTAGGGACAGGTGACAGACGGCCTTTTAAACACCAGGATTGTGATCCCATGCACAAGCTCCCTAGGATCAGAGAACTGGATCTGTAAACAGCATAGTAGTGAGAGAAGCAGGGAGGGATCATTCGTGAAGCCTCCAAGTCATAGGAGGGCTAGGAAAGGGGGCTGCAGAAGCAGAACATTAGATGGGAAACTCTTGAGCCAGCAATCAGCATTTAAAAGCAAAAATAAAGACATTGTGTGGTCAACACTTGAGTTATCTAAAAGTTACTCTGCTGTGTGCTCTTCTGAAGCATTCTCAGATTTTGGTTGGATTTTATGATCCTCTGGTGCTGACCCAATCCTTTGGAATTTAATTTTCTTCAGCTCTGCATTGCAGGGACTCTATCAAGATTATGTGGGAGTCCAAAGTTTCTATTGGGAATGAGTGGCATCTATTTCTGACTTTATTGTCAGAAGTAAAAAGTCAGAAAGAACAATTTTAGCTTTAACAATTATTTAAACCTGGGCAAAAGGAGATTCATTTAAACAACAAAGAAAATTATAAGATGAATGAATGATAGTTGCTACTAGCTAACTTGGAAAATTCCTCAATTTCTCCTATTAGGCTAAAATCTCCAAATAAGCAATCATACATTGTGGTCTACAAAGACATGCATTCTGCTTATTTTTACTCTTATTCCTTTTTTTTAAGGTGGCCCTGGACGAAGAATTGCAGAGGACCAAATATGTCAAACTGGAGCAGCGGCTGCAAGCTCTGAGATTGATGCTCCTGCATATCTCTCCCTCCTCCTGTGATGAAAATGATATTATTCCTTATATAAACACATTGAACAACTTGATTCCATTCTTGTCCCCCACACGTTGGGAAGAATGAATGGGTGGGAGCAGGGCCGGATTTAGATGAAAAGAGGCCCTAGGCTATTCCACTTATAGTGAAAGTGTAATTTTAATTTTGCTAACAATTTGAATGTAGGCCCCTCTTGATCTTGAGGCCCTAGGCTGAAGCCTAGTTAGCCTATAGGAAAATCCGGCCCACCCGGTTAGCTATTTCTAACTTTCCTCAAGGCAGCTCCAATGGGTTTCTTCAGTTTCTCTCTTCACCAACCCTTATTTCCTTGTGGGGAATTTAGATAATTGATTTGCCCCTTTTATCTTCCTTTCTATTCAACCATTAATGAATGTTTAACATATTAACTGTTGGGTGTGAATGTGCACATTTTCTTTTATTTTAATCACTTTCATACTATAAACTGCTTTGAGATGATTCCACTGAAAGTAGATTAAAAGTGAATTAAATGAATAAAAATAATCACCTCATGTTGTGAAGGAACACTGATGGGAAATGGGTTAGCAGCAAGATCTCTGGGACTTAGTCATGGAAGATAAGCATATTTGGGCTACTCAGATTTAGGACCATCATGGCTTGAAAACTGCTCCCATCACCCCCCTTCCCATCTCCTGCAAATAGCATGATGAAATCAAGGGTGAGCATTTGAGGTTAGCAAGGAGCTTCAGCCTGCTTCTGATCCATACTTGATAAGCCACATGTGACATATTTGATGTCGAATTCCAACTGCATGTTAAAGAGGCCTAAAATATTCTGCTTTCTCAAGTTTTTCAGTCTCTCTCAGCAAATGAGACCACAGAATGAAAGAATGAGACATAACAATAGATGGCGACACTTGGTAAAACAAAACACTTTCCTTGTGACTTTTCTCAATATTTTGTCAATGTATGTATCTATTAATAATTTCTTTTGATGGTGCTTACTGTAAGTGTAATGAATTTCTTTTTTTTTTTTTAAGTTTGAACTTCTTGTTAGTAAGTTGTCAGGGACTCTTTTTTTTGCCTGGAGGTCCCTCGGCAACACACAGGGTTTCTCAACTTTGGCAAACTTTAAGGTGTGTGCACTTTAACTTCCAGAACTCCTAAGGAGTTGAATCCATAAATCTTAAAGTTGAAGTCCAGACATCATTAAAGTTGCTAAACATTAAACTGCAAACAGGCAGTTGAAATCCACACATCTTAAAGTTGCTAAGGTTGGGAAACACTATTCCAGCAGGTTCCTCACAAGTAGAACAGTACAGTAGAGATGGGAAACATGGTACCTATGTGTAGATAGATCTACATATCTTTCAATAATATTGACAACTGCGATATTATGCAACTGCCATGAATGATATCAAATGCAAAGGTCTGGCGGTATAATAAATCAATACATCATTTCAATCCTGTAGTAATAGCTCTGTTTAATAGTCAGTGATCCCTGCAAATGGTGTGACTTGTGATATTTGCATAATGCAGCTGGTGGCAGGCTGAGAGAAATTATGTTTTCTATTTTGTGATGGTAGTGATGACAGTAATTGAGGGGAACTAAATTCCTGGTATCAATCCAAAAAACTAGAGGAGTAAATGCAATATAATAGTAAGTTAAACTGTCTCCTAAATCTTTAGTGTTACTTATTTACTGTATGTTATATTATACTCTGGTTTCCCTTGTTGGAAGAAATGTCCATCTGGTTTCAGTTCCAAGTGGGGAAAAAGACACTGGAAACATGGAGACTGCTTGGAAAGATGGTTTAATGGTGGACAGGAATCACATGGCTTGAGTTCCTGAACAGGAGCACATGGCTTGAGTTCCTGAGTAGAAAACAAAGAAGCCCTAGATGTTGGGAGTGCCTTGGTTTTATGCCCTCTGTTGGGCCTCACCTGTGAGTTTCTTGTTCCTGTATAAGAAATGTATTCTGATTGGTTGTGAAACTCCCAGGTGGTCTGGGGTCTTAGCTAACTTCGTAAATTGTCTCTCAAGCTTGCTTGAGTCTTGTCATGTGGTGAGTTTCTGTTGCTAGTTGGGTCCTATTGTGTTGCAAATGATGGCCCATTGACAAAAGAGGGGGGAAATGAGTGAGCTTGGTCCTTTGACAAAGATTTGTGTGTTGGGGGGCCAGGAAGCTGCTTTGTCTTTAAAACATGTTTCTCCATTTCTCATCCAGGAAATATAATATTCTGCCTTTTTAAATATTTCTTAAAATATTTCATTCTTCTAGGAGAGGGGTGAGTGCTAACTTCCTACAATACCCCCTTTCCCCCCCAAAAAACATGTGAGTTTTTGAAACATGTTCTTGGCAAAAGATTAAAATTGATCAGATCAGGGAGGCTTGATGGGTGCTTTTAATTTTTTTCTGGTGCAAATGGAAGGCATTGATAGAGGCAGCAGAAGGATTCCTTCAGTGGCTCCCAAAAAGCTTTCAACAATGAAGGTCTAGCAGCCAGGAGAAGAGTTCTGGAAAGAATTTTACAGTATCCAGTTTTCTATGCCAATTAATTTCAGATGTCAGATATCACTTTCTGTGAGCTTCTAGTCAGGTTTCAAGCAAGCACATGTTCCAAAACTCTTCACAGCCATGGTTTTCCTTTAAATTAAATGGCTGCCCATTTCCAAGGGATGGTTACTTGAATCTGCCCTAGCTCTTACTTTAGTGCATCCAGGATTTGTGAGTCCAAATTGAGGTTAGCCAATAGTCTGTGTGTGTGTGATCTGAAGTTGCTGAATTCTACAATTGGATTCTGTAAATTATTCACAATATGGGCCAGTCTAAGACCCGCCCTGTCTCCAGTCTGTCTCAGCTCCCAATTGGCTGACCTTGTTACCATGTCTTTCCAGTCATGAATAGTCTGACAAAACTGGAGATTGATCTCCCGATTAGAAATTCTGTGTATATCTACTTACCTTTACTTTACATTGGACTATTTCATTCTATGCTTGTCCTCCACAGGTTGGAAAGACTATATGTCAGATTGGTCTAACAAGTGGCAACTTCAAATCTCAACCAACAAATGCTCTGTCTTGCACATTGGCAAAAAATATCAAAACATAAAATACAAATTAGCTGGACATGACTTTGTAGATGACCCTCACTCTGTCAAGGACCTTGAAATACTCATTTCTAAAGCTCTAAGTGCCCGAGCCCACTGCAACAACATTGCCAAAAAGGCATTAAGAGTTGTTAGCCTATTCTTGTGCAGCTTCTTCTCTGGTAATGTTGTACTACTAACTAGAGTATACAAAACATTTGCTAAACCAATTCTTGAATACAGCCCGCACTGCATATCGGACATAAATACAATCGAGAGAGTCCAGAGATATTTTACAAGAAGAGTCCTCCATTCCTCTAACCACAATAAAATACCTTATGCCACCAGACTCCAAATTTTGGGCTTAGACAACTTAGAACTATGCCGACTTCAGTCTGACCTAAGCATAGTACATAAAATTATCTGCCACAATGTCCTTCCTGTCAATGACTACTTCGGCTTCAACCACAACAATACACGAGCAACCTATTTGCTAGTATTTTAGCAAAAATCTTACAATCTGTATTTAAGAGTGATATAGGCCTATAATTTTTTGGCTGGGTGTGGTCTTTTTTTTTTTTATTGCAAAAGTTTTACAATTACATTTTCACCCCTTTTTCCCCCCCACCTCCCCCCCAGACTTCCCAACCTCCCTAACCCTCCCTAACCCTCCCCTCCCCCCAGACTTCCCTATAATATACTCATACTCATAAAAAACCCTTAATATAACACTTATATATAAACTTGAACCCCTCCCTCCCCTGTATAATTTTTCTCTTTACCTCATTACATTAAAATATTTCCAATACATTATTTTCAAATAAAAGCTATTTGATACTTTCTAGTTTGATATTTGTTCTGAACATATTCTATCCACCTTTTCCATTCCCATTCATAAGTCTCTTGTGAACAATCTTTTAAATATGCTGAAATCTTCGCCATCTCTGCAAAACTGGCCATCTTCAAAGTCCATTCCTCGATAGTGGGCAAAGCTTCATTCTTCCAGTATTTACCTATCAACAATCTTGCTGCTGTTATCATATACAATATCAATTTTGTTTCACCCAATGTAAAACCCTTAACTATACCCAATAAAAACAATTGTGGAGAGAATTGAATTTTTTTCTTCAAAACATTCTGCATGACCCACCAAATTTTTATCCAAAAAGCCTTAACTTTCCTACAAGTCCACCAAACATGATAATACGTAGCATCCAAACATTCACATCTCCAACATTTTGGCTGAACATTAGGGTACATACATGACAACTTTTTGGGATCTAAATGCCATCTATAAAACATTTTATAGAAATTTTCCCTCAGGTTCTGCGACTGTGTAAATTTAACATTCTGAACCCAAATTTTTTCCCATGTTTCCAACATCACTGGTTCTTCAAAATTTTGTGCCCACTTAATCATACAATCTTTAACTAATTCAGTTTCTGAGTCCCTTTCTAACAAAACATTATAAAGCCTCTTGATATGCATTGGACCTTTCTCTCTTATATGTCTAACCAATTCTTCCTCGTGCAACATAATACCAGTTTTTTGGTCCTCTTTCCATCTCAGTTGTAATTGATTATATTGTAACCAAGTTAAATTAATCCCTTCGTCCAACAGTGTCTGCAATGTCTTCAGCTGCCATCTGCCCGCATCTGTAAAAAGAACCTCTTTGTATAAAAACCCCCCGAGTGACATTATATTTGTATTCCACAAAGTATGACCAAGATCCAACCATAACGGTATTTTATAATCCCATTTAGGTCGGTGCTTCTTCCAAACTCTCATCAAAGAGTCTCGAAGTATATGACTTTTAAATACTTTATCAACTTTGTCGTCATAAAATAAGTAAGCATGCCATCCAAATTCAAGATCAAAACTTTCTGCATTCAATATTCCAACCTTTTTACTTCCAAACCAATCACTTGTTAAAGTTAAAGCTGCTGCATCATAATATAGCTGTAGGTTTGGAAGTTTAAGACTTCCGGTTTCCCTGTCTTCGGCGACGGCGGTGCCTTTTGAAGCTCCGCCAGCCCCGCCGCCCGTAGAGCCGCTTCGCGACGAAGAAGCGGCTCGAAAACTTCAAAATCCACAGGATTGATGAAGCAGAGATCGCAAGGCACAGGTCGAGCCCCTGTAACCCCCCAGGGAAGTTTCTGGGAAGAGAACAGGCGCGGCTCCCTCCCAACCTGCTGAAACTCCGGGCGACGTGGGACGATTCTGCTTTTGCAGAACAAGCCGGCTGCAGGAAACTCAAAGCGAAAAGAACCAGCCTTAATAAACAGCGAAACTACCTGAATCTTGAAACTTGGAAACGCAAGTATTAGCGCTTTGTTGACTTTTTAATCTGAGAAAAATGCGAATGAGTGAAAGTGCTTTGAAAAAACATGGCGCTCAGCCTTAGAGTTAACGAGCCAGCGAGTGTGGATTGGTGAAGTTATCTTGCTTTGTTACAAAGTTTCCAAGTTGCTACAAAGTTGCCTTGTTTGTAATAAGA